CACTGTTAAATGTCTTTGGGTTGTGAACTGTTGGTCAAACATTAGGCTCTGCATTTAAAAAAAAGATGTTAGTTACCTTTATATAAGTTTGTAATTAATGGTCAATGGCAAATAAATTGTTTACTGATGCTCTCTCATTAGTCAGGAATAAAGAGTTCTTGCAATAATTAAAGTCGGGAATTATAAATGTTAATAAGTTGTTAATAAAGTAGTTTTGTTCCAGATGCACTATAGCACTTTTACAGGTGGTCAGATGTTGATTTGATTTGATTTTTGATTCTTTTCTTTCAAGCATGTAAAAACAGTTGATATGTCAACACACATAATTTTACACATATCCAACAAATGCTAATCCAATATCAATTTGCTTATACCTAGTACATGCTTGAATGGAGTAGGAAGAAGTCAGACTTATCCAGTCCTACCCCATGACATCATCTTACCATCATTGGTTTGCAAGCAGTAAATGATTCTTTTCTACACCACACAAGTAATATACTAAAAAAAATTATAACAGAGTGTTAACATTCATACACCACACAACATTTTGAAAATGATATACAATCAACTAAAGAGCTAAAAAGGCAAAGTTACTTTCATAATAATAATCATCATAATGAATAATTTAGGCCTACTGTTGGTACTTTACTTATTGTTGGTACCTTTACTTAAGTAAACATTTTGGATGCAGGATGCATGACTCTTGCTTTTAACAAAGTATTTTTACAGTGTAGCATGTATCGCCTACTAAATAAAGGACAGGAGAACTGCTTCCACCACTGGGTGACGCAGACATTTAGTACCTTCCACCCACTGAGCCAGTTTACTCAACGTTTCTTACTGGTGTCTAGGGGTGGTGCGTGGCGTTGCACTTGGCAGACTTGCTGACAGAAAGCGTAAATCGTTAGCCAAGGAGCAAATAGACCTTTGATCCTGAGATGACAAGAGAACATTTACCCTGCCGCCCTCTGCTCTGTACAACACACTGGAGCAAGGGCTCGTTTTACGCACGAGTACATGATATTCGTCTTAAATATGTTTCACCTAAAACAAAAAAATATGAGAATACACGAGCCACGTTGCAGTACTAGTACCAAAACCTCCTCCCTTTTGGCTCTTACCTCAAGCACTTGACTTTTCTTTATTAGACAGCGTTTCGTTTAGCAAACAAGGGACAACTGAAGAAGTTAAGCGATGAATGTGGGGCGGAGAGACAGAAAGCAACAGCAGGAAACACTTTCAGCTGGAAAATAAGCAATACCATTGCAAACTGTTCCACAGTAGGCTATAGTACAAAAATAAGTTGTAAACACGGCATTACAGTGGTTTATGAATACTGCACAGTACACGGCCACGTTGTGAAGCAAAGTTGTAAGGTCTAAAGCTTTAAAAAGGAAAACACCAACCTGTTGGATGTATGGAGCAGGTCGGGCCAGACTGACCGGTGACGAGCGACAAGTGAAAGTGAACGGGCGATAGCGCGAGTGCCAGCGCCATCTGGTGGACATCTGCGCTAAAGCTAGTGCGCACTAAGCCACAATGGAGACAACGGGAGGAGGAAATGATACTTTATATGACAGCATTACAAATTCTTGGCGTGATTACGGAGTTTATGACAGTGTTGTTAAGATGACACAGGCTAAATTGTGTGATTAAACATGTCAAATGCTGACAACCCTCTTCTCTGTGTGCGTCAGATCCGGCTGAACGTGATCCTCGGCGGAGTCTCAGGCTGGAGGAGGAAGGCGAATGTGGTCTTGACGTCCTCTGAGGACTGCACGCTGAGATGGAAGCTCAGCAGGACCTACACAAAGGTGGAGGAGGTGATGGAGGTGTGAAGGCAGAGGGGAACACATGTTAGTCCGGCTGCACTCAGCACAAGTGCTGGAAAGTAACTAAGTGCATTTACCCAAGTTCTGTACTCAACTGCAGTTGTGAGTTACTTGTACTTGTACTTACTTGAGTATCTATATACTAAGTTATAATTATTCTCAACTACAAATCAGTGTGCCCTTGAACTTTTAAGTCCATTCAGTTTATTTATCAGTTCTAATTATTTTACATATTATGTTAAAAAATCTATAAAATACAACACAAGGGTAAAGAAAACAATGCGTGGATGGGGCCTCTTGTCACATTTCAGGTGTTTCTACTTGTTAGCAGCTCCACTACAAAAAGATTTTCCATCTTAATTTCTGAGATAATTTCATTTAAATACCTGAGATTGGCCAAAACTCCCCAGTATGTCACAAAAAAGTAAAAAGAAAACTGTGAGAAATAAATAAAAACGTATTAAACACAACTTTGTTTTTGTTTTTTCCTCTCATACTAATTATTTCACCACTCCTCAGATTTATAAAGCGAACACTGGAGGGACCGGGCCCCTAGGATTGAGCTACCTCACTGTATAAAAAGTAGCTCCACTTCATCCAGCTACAACAGAAAAATGCTGCTTACACAACTGCTTCATAGGCCAAACAAGTACTTTTAATATTTTAAGTACTCTTGTTTAATAATCATACTGTGCTGTTATTAAAATGGAGTTTTAAATATAGGTAAAGTGGTATTTTAACACTGTGATGCTGGTATTTTCAAATAAATAAGGGATCTGAGTACTTCCTGCATCGCTGCTCAGCAGATACTGGTTAAATGTGTCAAATCTTGTCTTTCTTTATAACTCAGCACCAGCTTTTCTAACTCTTCCTGCCTCTTGCTTCACATCCTTTCTCTCTGACCCAATCTCCATCCTCATGGTCTCTTTCCTCCTTCTACTGTCTAATATCACTCACACGCATGAGTAAGAGCTGCATCTGATTCTCAGCAATCCTCCGTCCGACACATTGCCTTGCCCCTAAACCGAAAGCCATGAAGCGAAACCCCAACTCCGGTCTCTGGCCACCTTCTCTAATGCTGCACCACCGCTCAGGGTCAAAGCGCTCTGGATCGTCAAACACCTCTGCACTCCTTCCCAGGGGGTAAAGACAGACCTGGACCATTGTCTGGGGGGATAAGATGAGATGAGTCAGCTGTAGCACTGAATGCACCTAAATATGTTTGTACATTGGCGTTCGCAGAAGAATTAGGAAGAAAATAAGAAAGCGGTTCATAGTGTGATCACTCACCCCAGCAGGTACATGGTAATTCTGAAGAACAACATCTTTGACTGGACGCCGTTGTACTGTGATTGCCACCGGGTATAACCTGACACAGCAAAACAACACCAAAAAACCACACACATGCACACAAACAAATCTATGTTTTCAGGTATTACCTTTGACTCCTCACTCAATTCTTGACAAAAGCTCTGGATTACTGGTAATCACTTGTCATTTAAGATATTTGAGCCATGCTCCCAGAAAAGGAGACTTGGAATTTGGAAACTTGTATGTGTGTGTATGTAGCTTCCAGATTTCATTCAAAAGATACCCATACAAGGGGACCTGCATCAGATGGCCTCATTCCCACAGAGAGCTGAACTAAACATCATGGAGTCAGTCTGGGATTATATGAAGACCTAGAAGACAATGAGACAGACTGACTCCACAGGAGAAATGTGACAAATTCTCCAAAATGCTGGTTACAACCTGCTTGCCAAATAGCCTGATAAACAAGTGTAGGTGAAGTGGCGCTGTAAAACATTCCCTACTCAAGGCCCGGTTGTGTGCTTTTTCTGGAGCTTTCAACTGCATTACTCATTCTTCATCAGCAAATGGAGTTTCCATACAGTCCTGTTAACTTGTATGAGCTCAGAAGTTATTTTATTTCAAGACTTTGCATCTGGATGAGGCAGATGTTATGTAACAGCTAGGTCCCCTGTCACCAGGCCTAATATTAGACTACACATACAGAAACCCTGGAGCTAAACAGCATTCCAGTATGTGATTACTAGTTTCTGGGATTGGGGCCAGCCATAGTGTGCTCTGTGATGTGTACTTGATATGAACTTGGAGGCAACAGGGTGCATAAACAATGAAGAGATATGTGTGTGTGGGTGTATGCAGGTGGCCAACAAAAAAAAAAAAACTTGCATAATGCCTGGTGTGCCCATTTGTGAGCCACTGGAAGGATTCTTGAGTTTTATGTACCTAAGGGTCTCTTTGACAGTGCCTTTTAGCAGTGGCACCCCCTGCAGAGCTTTCTGAAGGTCACCAGCCGCCTGCGCCCAAGACTCGATCACCTGCTGCCTCACCTTCTCCTGCACCTCTGGGTTGCGGGCCAGCTCAAACAGAGCAAACTGCAGGGGCACAGCTGTCTGCAGAGAGGTGACAGAGTTAGTCAGGTTGAGGTATACAAGGACAAGAACATCTCATCCACACACATACACACCGTGTCGACCCCTCCAACCATCAGCTCAGTCATGTTGGCTTTGATCAGGTCCATAGATAGTTGTCCTTTCTCTAGGAGTTGGCCCAGAACCCCAGTGTGGCGGTCTCCAGCTGCTCCAGCCTCAGACCTTCGACCCCGGGAGGATGACTGGCGCTGGTATCCCCTCTGGATCCTCACATCCGCTGGAAGGAGCACAGGACATGATGACAGAGTCAGGTGAGATGAGAGTAATGAAGGAGGAACATATCAGGATCAACCATAAATGAAGACTGAATGATCCATTATTCCTGCATTAGATGTCATGTCAGTGTCTGTAGCTCTTCCTACCATGAGAGAAGATGTAGTCCCATGCACTGGCGTGCTGGACCCACAGCGGAGCACCGACGCGGAGCAGCAGGCGATGGGGCAGGTAAAGAAGAGGATTGGTGGTTGCCAGCATCTGCTTCAAAGCCCAGATGAACTTCTGAGACTCCATGGAGGGAGATGAGGAGAAGAGGCCCATGCGCTCCCCATAGAGCACATGGCAAATGGCTACAGAGGGGGGAGGAGAGGGAGGGCAGGGGTGTAAGTGTGGGCTAAGGTGAGACATAACTGACAAACTAAAACACTCAGAAGCTAAGTTGAAATATTTTTTTGAAAACATAAAATAACTTTTAATGAATAATAAAGAAGACTATAAAATCTCCAGACTCCCATTTTTCCTTTTCATGTTTTAATTAATTAAAAGAGTAATTAAGGTTTTAAGGAACTGCATGGTTTTATAGGTTGAATATATCATTATTTGAGGGTTTGTGGCTCTCCTGCACAAACAACTAAACAGAGTCTAAAAAGGCAGGTGTTTTTTCTTTGAAAGACATTTATTTCTCTCTGTGACAGCAAGAAAATATGATGTTTTTCAAATCTAGCTCCACACAGAAGCCAGTGTTGTTTTCTGAGTGCATATGATTTCTCAGAGGAACAGTTTCTCCTCCACCAGACATCCATCACCCATCAGACATGTGTTATATTTACTAGCGAACTGGAATAGAGTTTCACACCAGTCTGTTCCTACCCCGGCTGAGCACCTGGCTCAGTGAGGTGCTGTTCATTAAGACCAAAACAGCATGACTCAACTCTCCCCCATTCACGCTCACATACACACAGTGTACAGCACACTGAGTCACACAAGCAGTGACACTGAATGTAGTGCAGATGGGTGCATGAATGGAGAAGATGGTGAAAGAACACAGGAGCTCTGATCATCTTTGCTGGTATTTTTACGGTTTTTCGTGACTGCAGGCAGGCCAGTCCAGCACTCACACCCTTTTTCTCTGCAGCCAGGCCTTGATAATGTGCAGTGTGAGGTTTTGCACTGTCTTGTTGAAATATGCATGGACGTCCCTGAAGAAGATGTCATCTTGCAGGCAGCATATGTTGCTCCAAAATCTCGATGTATTTTTCAGCATTAATGGAGCCATCACAGAAGTGTAAGTTAGCTTTGCCAAGTGCACTGACACAACCCCAGACCATGACAGACTATGGCTTCTGGACTTGATGCTGGTAACAGTCTGGATGGTCCTATTCGTCTTTGGTCCGGAGCACACAGGGTCCATTCCTTCCAAAAAGACCTGAAATACTGATTTGTCTGACCACAGTACACGTTTCCACTGTGTGATGGTCCATCCCAGATGCTTCCGAGCCCAGAGCAGTCGAGTGCTTCTGGACACTCTTTACATAGAGTTTCCTTTGGCACACTACAGTTTTAAGCAGCATTTATGGACATAACTATGTATTGTAGTGACTGACACAGGTGTGCCAAACTGTGGTTATGTCGCTTATAGAAGAGTGCCGATTCTTGATGCAGTGCCATCTGAGGGATTGGAGAGCACAGCCATCCAGCTGAGGCTTGTGAACTCTACACACCGCAATTCCCCCAGCATTAATTACATTATGCACCATAGAGGGTGACATATCAAGGATCAAAGGTTTTTATTGTCAATTCACTATATGTACAGGACCTACAGAAAATTTTAACACCGTCTCTCTCTCACCTAATATTAAATACCAAACCATTTAAGAAGGTAAATAGAATAAAAGTTGAATAAAAAATAGAATAAAAACTAAATTAAAATAATTAGGATAAAACTAAATGGTACAACCTAATAGGCTATGACTCAAAACCATGTACAATCAGTGACAATAATACAAATAATAACAAGAAGATTGTCAAATGGTTAACATCACCAAAGGCATTGGTGAAGAGGTGCATAATAGCTTATGAAATGTGCATGGACGGTAATGCCATTGACAAACAATCAGCAACAGATTTCCAGAATTGTGCAAAACAGCAGAGGTAGTCTTTTTATGTTCTATAGTGGGTTACAGCCCCGGGGCAGGGGGCAGAGCGGGGGAGGTAGTGGACAGTGTTCAGCATCCTCATAGCCTGGTGGATGAAACTGTTTATAAGTCTGGTGGAGTGGGCCTGAAGACTCCGATACCTTCTTCCTGAAGGCAGGAGTCTGAAGTGGGAGTGTGAGGGGTGGGAGGTGTCATCAGCAATGCTGATGGCTCTGTGAGTGAGGCGGGTGTTAAAGATGTCCATGAGGGAGGGCAAAGGGGAGCCAGTCTTGCTGGCTGTTTTCACTATGCATTGCAGGGTCCTTCTGCAGGAGACAGTACAGCCTCTGTACCACACAGTGATGCAGCCAGTGATGACGCTCTCAGTGGTGCCCTGTAGTAGGAGCACATGATGGGGGGTGGGGAAGTAGAGGCATGTTTGAGCTTTCTTGGCCAGTGATGTGGTGTTGTTGGCCCAGGAGAGGCCCTCAGACATGTGCACCCCCAGGAACCTGGTACTGCTCATTCTCTCCACTACAGCACCATCGATGGTCAGTGGTGGATGCTTTAGAGGTTTTCTCCTGAAGTCCACAGCGATCTCTTTAGTCTTCCCCACATTGAGGGAGAGGTTGTTGTCCTTACACCACTGGACCAGTTGGCACACCTCACTCGTGTAGTTGGCCTCATCATTGTTGGTAATGAGGCCAACTACAGTCGTGTCATCCTCAAACTTGACAATGTGGTTGGTGCTGTAGGTTGGCATACAGTCGTGGGTCAGCAGTATGAAGAGCAATGAGTACTCAGCGTGATGGTCTTGGAGATGTTGCTGCTGACCTGAACATTTTGTGGCCTCCCTGTTAGAAAGTCCAGCACCCAGTTGCAGGGAGAGGTTTTGAGTCCCAAGTGTCCAAGTTTTTGTGTAAGCTGCTGGGGAATGATTGTGTTGAATGCTGAACTGAAGTCTAGGAACAGCATTCGCACTTAACAGTTCTTTGAATCTAGGTGGGTGAGGGCTGGATGGAGAACAGTAGTAATGGCATCCTCTGTGAACCTGTTTGACCTGTATGCAAACTGAAATGGGTCATGAGAGGGAGGAAGGATGGACCTGACGTTCTGCATGACCAGCCGCTTGAAGCACTTCATAATAATTGAAGTCAGTGCTACAGGCCGATAGTCATTGTAACTGGTTGGGTGGGGCTTCTTTGGAAGTAGAATTATTGTGGTGGCATTGAAACATGTGGGAACAACCACTTGGCTCAGGGAGATGTTAAAAATGTCCGTGAGGACATCCCTGAGCTCCTCGGCACAGTCCTTTAAAACATGACCAGGTATGTTATCCAGTCCAGCTGCCTTGTGGGGGTTAATCCTGGAGAGGGTCTTCTTCACGCTGGCTGTGGACAGACACACAACCTCCTCGCCTGGGGGAGAGGTGGTCTTCAGTGCTGGTGTGTTGTTCTGTGTTTCAAGTAGCCAAAGAAGACACTGAGGCTGTTCAGCAGAGAGATGTCACTATCACAAATCTGGGGTGAGGGTTTATAGTCTGTGATATCTATTTGTTGTCAAACTGGTAGTCCTTAGCCCATCTTTGCTCCTAAAGGGCTTGGGCTTTCCTGGATGCCACATTTGTACCAAATCATGATTGCAATCACCTGTTGACATCACCTGTTTAAAAAGGAGTCATCATTTCATTGTTTTACCTCATTACTGGCCCTGAAATGCAGCCATCCCAACGTTTTTTGGAATGTGTTTCAGCAAGGAGAAAGAGCAAAAGCAGTGAGATAGTAGCAAGGGAAAGGTTTTTTGGGAACTTTCATAAAGGTGATGTTCCTACAGACTGTAAGAAGATATTGAAGCTTCAGTTAGAACTTGTGATTCAACCAAAAGAGCCGATATAGGCTGAATGAATGCCTGTCAAAATGGAGGTGACATTAATCCATACATTCCCATCCCAAATGACTTCACGGTCAGACAAAGCTGGGATGTTCTTGTTAGACCGCCCTACACTTAGCTCAGCTCTGATGGATTAAAAAGAGCCAGAATTCTGTGGCCTGGTGTATACATCAGCTGCACAGTCCCACATAAAAATACACAAAGAAACCACAGGTCACAAATCACTGATGACCTCTGACCTTCCAGCCCAAAGCGAAAGAGGTCAGAACTGGGTTCAATGGTCAGACTTTGTTTCCCTTCCACGACTCTTCCCTCCTTCTCCACTCTCGCCTGCAGCATTCGACAGAAGTCCCTCGCCACCTCATCAAGGTGAGGGAGAAAGCGCTGCACGGCCACATTCATCATCACCTCTTTGTTGAGCAGTAGACGGTCAGCTCGCCACTCCTCACCATTCCTGTGGAGAGAAGCTTTAGTGCGATGTGTTGAGATCAATGCACTTCAGTTCTGCACAGTCACTGTGAGGCAAAGAATGTGGGCTCAAAAGAAATTTTTCTCAAGCAGATGTGTTTTTTTTGCTTTTATATTCCTAAAGTAGAAGAGCTGTGTCAGTCTGTTTCCCTTTCAGTTGGACTTTTCCCTTGCCTTAACATGAAACCACAACAAGTCTCTTCTTTGTTGCTTAACCTCTGCTCAGCCTTACCTCCACCCCATTTAGTTATCTTTACAACATTTGAGTGTTTTTTGCATCTTAACCTACACTACCAGTTATCTTTACAACATTTGAGCCCAGTGTTTTTTGCATCTTAACCTACACTAGTGAAATCGCTTGGCCTACTGGTAGGTGCAGTTTGCCCTTGCTGGAGTATAATTAAGGGTGTGATAACAACTGGCAATAGCCATTTATTGAAGTAATAACATTTGAATTTAGCAAATATTGGTTAGAAATCAGGATATCTCAGCACCTGATGCATCGATTTTGACTGTTCTCATCTGTCTCTTGTGAGTCCTCAACTTTATGGAAGTGTGATAGTGATGAACTGAAGTCTCCTTTAAAATAAACCCCGTGTGTTGAATGTGAAAACGTCCAACTCCCTCCCAGTTGTAGAATAAAAAAAAGCCAGCAATGTATGTCATTCTCCAGTGTGAAGAAATGGCTGTATACATTTTTATCAGAGTTAGCTCATGTTCTACAAACACAAAATATGAGCTCTGAAAGGCTACAAGAGTATAGGTCAGTACTTTCCACAGTGACCCCAGAAACCAAGCTTGATGATGATGGCACACACACTTATTGAACATGTCACTGACTTACATTCACCCAGTCATCTCCTGCAGACTTATCCCAACCTTAGTCGTAAACACTACGTACTTAACTCCAACTGTAAATCAATCAGCAATATAAACAGATGAGGTACTGACTTGAGGAAGACTCCCTTGCTGTGATGGCGTATCTCCCTGTGCGTCACCCAAGGCTGCACGGTCATCCGTTCAGGGTACAGGCCCTCAGAGCGAAACAGCTCACCGATGTCGGATGGAAGAAAGATGTTCACACTGCTTTGCGTGGCCACGTGCTCCCTTCACACACACACACACACACACACAAAGGCAATGGTGTAAACTCATACACTACTGAATATCAACAGTTTGTCTCCTCACTCTACCATATGTGCCCTAATTAAGCCAATCAGCTACTTACAATATACACCATTGCTCAGGAATCTTTTAAAATATTTATGTATATATGATACCATCTTTCTGCCTTCCCTCTACCTGTAGATGGGGCCAAGGGCGCTGAAGGTGCGCTCCATATGTTTGTGAATTTGCCCAAAACGGCCTTCTCTCCAGAACTTCAACAGGTTGATCCAACCACTCCTGCCCGTGTGAGGGATCTCCTCAAAGCGCCGTACTCGTCCATCCACACCCCTTTTTCTAACTCCTTTACTCCTCTCTGACTTTGCCACTGTCTCTGCTGCAGTCATACAAAAAGCTCTTTGCAGCATGACACCACAAAGCAGATTTGTGGAGCCACAGGTGCCCTGTGCTCTGACACACACTGTCACTGGGGTGTACATGCTCCTCATAGTGCAAACCAGCTGTGTTCTCATCCAAAGTTGTGACACCCCTGGTGGTTTGTCGTCTCTACAGGACCTGTTATTTCCCTCCTCTGTTGCCAGTCTCGTATCCTTGAACATGTGCCAGTGCTCTAATGAGCTGACAGCAGATGAAGATCTATGGATGTGACGATCACAGTTCAAGAGAAACGCAACAGAACCCAGAGGTTTGCCTGATCCAAAAGATACACAAATACACACACTCACACACACGGTGTTTAAAACAACAGTGAATCCAGCTGGCCAGTAAAGTCTTTATTAGAAGCTGTGCTTAAAGCTATTCAACAACAACAAAAAAGACCATGTAGGACATGTTTCACAGTCCTGGTGGTTGTTGGTTTCTGCTTTATGACTAGACAGTGTGACCCCATTTACACACCAAAACTAGGTACATGAAACTAATAGCCTCAAATTTGGCTCATACACATTACAGATACAGTTTGGCTTTTATACTAGACATCATTCAGTTGTGTGAATGTGTGGTGAAATGTGAATGTGTTGCCCTGAGGTTGCTTACTTGTGTATAGATCATCCAGTCAGATCTCCATCATTCAGAGAAGTAGAAACTAGCTGCAGTGTCTTGATGAATAATCACCATGGCAACATTTTAACTATTCACCTTATAACAGCGGATTATGCATTACACAACATTACAATAAATGAATAAAGGGTTAAAATTACTTTCCAAATGGGGTGAAAATATGATAAAAGCTTTAAACAATTATGTAAAAATCCCATGATCCTAACAGTATATGTTGTATATCAACCCATCATGTAATACCTCATAATGTTTCATAATAATAAAAATGAGTTATTACACTATCATTCATGGAAATGTGGCCTCACCAGTGACACTTTAAGCAGCGTATACAAACATTAAACAAATGATAATTAAGACGTGATTTGGCTGTAGGCAGTGGTGGAAAATAAAATGCATTTACTCAAGTACTGTACAGTACTTGAGTACAATTCTGAGATATTTGTATTTTAATTGAGTATGTTCATTTTCTGCTATTTCATACCTAAACTTTACTACATTTAAAAGGCAAAAATTGAATTTTTCACTGCACTACATTCATTTGATAACTTCAGTTACTGGTTACGTTTTTTCAGTCTGATAAATAAAATTATTGGATTTCACTGATCCTCAGTGGAAAATCCACAAACCACCCAGCAGAATGTAAAGTACTTCAAATTATAAATATATACGGTAGTTCACATTATCTTCACTTTTGCATGTTTTAGCATTAATGTGATGAACACGGTAACACATAATTAATTATAATCCAATAATATAAGCTCACCATAATATAAATATGCCATTCTGCATAACGAGCAGGTGTACTTTTAGTACTTTAAGTATATTTTGATGATTATAACTTTTGTACTTTTACTTAAGTAACTTTTTGAATGTAATAGTATTTTTACACTGTTGTATTGCTACTTTTACTTAATAAAGATTCTGAGTACTTCTTCCACCACTGGCTGTAAATAAAATGGCATACATTTGCCTGCAATTATAACTCCACCTACACTGACATATTTTATTTTTAATACAACTGAGTGTATTTATTATCTGTTCATAAAGCAGTTTCCACTTACAGTTAACCACAGCAGGAGTTAGACTTATTGACAAATACAATATAAATGATTTATGAAATGTTTAGAGTGTATACTGTTTACAGCTGCTAAAGAGGAGAATGTAAAATAATCTTTTACAACATTACTTGGGGAGTAATTTGTAACTTCACTGACTAGTGTATGAGTAAAGTTATTATGAATCATAATTAACAGGTAGTGTCAAATTTTCACTCCAGTTAAATGCTGACCAAGTATGATTTATTCAGAAAATAAAATTGAGCTGTACGTTATTACCGCTAAAGGACAAAAATATGTACAGAAGGAGAGTTTGAATGACACTGTGTGATTGTGAGAGGAAGCGCGACTGGACTGAATGTATATTTGACTATTGCTGTAAGATGTAAAAGCACAATTCATGTTTGAGCAGTGTTCATAAATGTGCGTATTTCCCCTGATGTTTTCCTGACTAACTCAATCAGAAGGCAGTACACTAATCATCCCTGTGATGACATGACTTTACAGGAGCCCCCACTTGCTGAAGTAGTTCCTTCCTGTGAGCATCACTGTGCCAAAGCCGAGGCCTTGAAAAGCACTCAGCAGGTTGAAGCTGTCGTCTTTGTTTTTGGTTTCAGGATTAATCATCTTCAACAGCTCAAGGGGGAGTGACACTTTCCCTCCCACAGATCTCAGGTGGTTTGTGTCCTTGGGGTTCTTCATCAAGTTGGTGAGAAAGAAGAGGAAGAGGGTTGAACACACAATAAAAACTAAATGACCTCTGTCTACATTTCTCATGCACATGATACACCATCATACAGTGTGTGTGACACATGTAAAGTGTGTGACACATGTAAAGTGCCTTTATTTTCTTTCATTTTTATTTATGCATTTATATATGCATTTTATTTATTTAAAGTCATTCAAATATGTTATAAAACTAATTTGATGGGGCTTGAATAAGATGGGATGTTTTACTGACAATAGTAGAAAATATGTACATGTTTGGCCAAATAATAGACACAAACATAAAGCACTTTGTAAATGGTTACATTCATAACCACGTGATGCCACATATACTGTATGGAGTTGTACCAACTATGCTAAACGTCTTAATGCAACGTCCTGCTGCCTAACACACAAACTGGACTAAATCCATGAACATATTGTAAACAAAACATCCACACAGACCTCAGACAGCTGGTATTTTCTCCTGTAGTGAGCCCTCATAGCTGCTCGCTCAGCATTCTTCTGTGCATTCATCGCTTCCCGCAGCTTTCTGTAAACAGCAGAGAAACACCTGACACGCTGCCGACAGAATTCGGTGAAAGCAAAATCCCTGCTATAGCACAGGTGACTTGAATTTCTAATGAAAACATAGGTAGTTATAAACAGCAGCATGTTTGAAAACCATGTGTGCCCAAAGCACATACAGTATGTCGAGTGCCACAAAGTGCATTTATTAGTATTTCTTAATGTGGTAAAACTTGTTCAAATGTTCAAAAAGTAAATATACAGGCTACATATTACTGTAGAGTATCTTCCTTTATTCTACTTTATATACTGAACAGCCATAACATTATAACCACCTGCCTATTACTGTGTACATAGGAGTCAATGCAGCAGTTGGTTGGCATTTCGTGTCACTCTGCAGCTCACTGTGCATCTTCTTTGAATCCATTTGCTTACACAGTTCTACTGTCAGGAAGAGCACAGATGTGTCTACAGTTCAATGAAAAACTTATGTAAAAGGAGTGAAAACTGTGGTCATGAGACGTTAGAGAGAATTTTTTAGACAAATTAAACAGCCTCACCACTGTAGGTGTGATATCACCACTACAGCCCCTGACTCTTTCACTTCAATATTCTACAGGATTTCTACAATATTTCTCATTTTCAACCTTTTTAACAAAGACTGAAATAAATTTTACTCTTTTGAAAAGTACAAGTGGAAGTTAAAAGTGTAATCTAGGTCAACCTCATCATCAGAGAGCTGTGGGCATCCATGACCCTGTCTCCAGTTCACCATTTGTCCTTCCTTAGACACTGTTGGTAGGTACTAACTACTGCAGACCAAGAACACCCACCAAGACCTGTAGTGTGGGAGACGCTCTGACCCAGTCATCTCACCATCACAGTTTGGCCCTTGCCAAAGTCACTCAGATCCTCATGCATGCGTGTTTCCAACACATCAACTTTGAGGACTGAATGTTCACTTGCTGCCTAATATACCCCACACACTGACAGGTGCCACTGTAGCAGATAGTCAGTGTTATTCACTTCACCTGTCACTGGTCATAATGTTATGGCTGATCAGTGTACATCTACTCCATGATATTACAGAGGGAAATACTGTACTTCTTATCCACTTACATTTAACAATTAAACTTACATGTTACTCTGATTTTACAAACAAAACATCTGATTATCTAATAAAACATGATAAACTGTTATAAATCCATATGAAACAGTTTAAACAACCAAACTACAACAATAAAATGATCTTAACATTGGAAACAATAAAGTACTATCATATCAAATCACTGACTCACAGGGTCATTTTTCTGTACCAGTCACTGTTACTTCTGATACAGTCAGTACATATTTCTCTACTACTTACATACATTTACATTATAATTAAATGGCTTTTTCCTGTAATGAAGTAATTTACAGTGTGGCATGTTGTGTTTCTACATTATGCACAGTGACCACTTGCCTCTGTTTCTCCAGGTCTGCCTGATACGAGCGGATGACTGATGGGTCTTTAGGATGTGCAGTACGGAGAAGAGGTGTCTTCCCCAACCTGTTACCTCCTCCTCCTCCCCTGCTGTTTCTGCTTTTGGGCAACAACTTCCTGTCCTTCACCCCAGACATGCAGCTAGTCAGCTTCCTGATGGGTGGACTCAGCAATTTCTTTATTCTCACCACAGTCTCCATGATGCACCTGAGCTGTCGGGACAGGAGGGAACAATCACACCTCTACTGATCTGACAGATGATGAGTGGATATATAATGGTTTTCTCCTTTGTTCATGTTGTGTTGCTCAGGACACACATGGTCTCATATCCTGTGCAAAGCAGTGACTCAAGGTGAGCCCTGCCAAGAACAAGGACAGCAATCAGACAAGGCTCAGATACAAGGACTTGCTAAATACACACAGCCTCACACACACATCTAGTTCCTAATGTTACATACACAGATGAAGAGTTTGACAATTTGTGATTATTTAACTACAAACACAATATTAACTTGGTTTGGCATAGTCATCCATTGCAGTTTTCTTACCCATGCAGGTAGCTACAGTTGTCCAATGGCTCACAGCATAAAATCCTGGTAAAGCTCCAGCCAGATGGCTTCCACTGCTTCAAGACAATCCCCCAAAGCATTAACACAACCCTGAGAAAACAAAAGAAACAACAGAGAC